TTTATCATGAATTAGATATGACACCAACTCGCTTTCCGCCAGAGACTCTAGTATCCAATGAACGATCGAACTTCTGCGAGGAATGTTACTTTACGTGAATCTTAAATGAATAATATTTGACGTGCCTTAAAAGCATTTGAATTGTTTTTTCATCGTAAATTCTTATTCTTTGCATGTTTATTGAATTGGTATATGTAAATAAAATAATCTTTCATTCGTATCTTTCTGTTGTTATTGAATAATATTTTGAATTCTTTTTAAAAATTCTTTTCTGTAGTTAAAAGTAAAAATTGTAATTAGTTTAAAACATTAAAACTTTTTGTTTCCGTTTTATTTGTGTGAATCCACAAAAACCTATATTTAACAAATATCTACAGTTTGAGACGCAACAATCCATTAAAGTACTGGAATTTTTTCATACTAAAGTATATTATCTGAAGTGCATATTAAACTTAAGTTATTAATTACTATTCATGTAACTCTTTAAACCTAAAGTGTGATTTATCGTTCAGATACTCAAATTTTAATAATTTAAAAATATTTATATAAACCCAGATAAAATTATAAATTTCTATTTTTATATTTATAAATGATATTCCTTTTAATAATAAATATAAAAACCTATTTCCCAATAAACATTCTCCGCAGTTAATTTTAAAACCATTTATAGTTAAACTCTTGTTGTAATCTAAGTGTACAAGGTAATTAAGAAAAAAATTAACAAATTACAAAACCAAACAAATAAAGAACACAAAATTTATTAAAACAATTTTTTTGTACATTGATGAGATACTGTTTATACGAATACTATTTCTATGTTAATAATGTAAAAATCGTTTTATGCCAGTAATACAGTAAACATCGTGATTATTATGATATTCAAAAATTACTTCGTTCGGTATAATACGGTAAGAGAACAACAGCACGATAACGCTGCAACGGTAAAGAAACAATTTATGTCGATAAAAAGGCATGTTGACAGTATTGCAACAAGAGAAGCTGTGTAGTATATCCGTAACTGAATACCTTGCGATGTGATAATATATTCATTACTCCCGGCAATGCCTTGACATTTGCAAACGACCAAACTAAAGTGACCAACTAATATAGCAAATGCTGCCATATACATTTTCTCGGAAATGTAGCCACAGGTTAATAACTTATAAATTACATTTCGCATTGTGTCATAAATATGGATTGACGATTGAAAAGTGCAATTAAAAATTTTATAATATTCTCCATAGTATTTACAGTAATTGCATGTTTTATTAGGTGTATACAACTACTCTAAAACGCATAAATAAATAATAATTATTATTATTATTATTAAAGTGGAGGAATTTAATAGAAATAATAAGTTACACAAACTATGATAAAAAAACCCGTAATTATTATAAATTTTTACAGCATTTGATTCATACCCCCAATGTCTGAATGCATACCTAATGGTACAGAAACTAAAAAGTTGACAAATCGTTTAACCTATTAACTGTGGAACTTAGTTTCAAAAATTTCTTGCATTGCGCGTAATAAAATCGAAAAGTGAAGTGTGTATGTACTCGTCAAACGCGGGACGAATGCACCCAGGGTATATTTGAGTAAAAAACCAATGTAAATAAAGAAAAATTATATGTTTATCTGAAAAAATAAAAAATTCATCGTTTAAGAATTAGTATCATTTCAAGCTTTCAGGTGACGTGTATACTCGTCAAACGCAGTTAACTGATTAAAGGTTGTAAACTCCTACCAAATACTACCACACAGAGGATATTTAAATTCTTTTCATGAAATATCGCTATATGTAAGACATCTTTTGAGTGCTGTGTTTTCAAAAATGTCTAATGCTTCTATATTCAAGAGTTCTCCATTAAATCTTATTTTTTCCAGTGAATACCTTCTCGGACGTCGATTAAATTGTATATATAACAAGGGATTTATGTTGCAAAATATGTTTTTTTCAGCTCAGTTTAATACCACGACAGATTATCTTCCTGAATTAACTATTCAAGAAGAAAAAGAAACGCATCCATCATTTTATCATGTGGTCACGTCGGAGAAGATTAACCGATTAACTGTAAATTATAGATAATAGCACGATATTGTGCAACGAATAGCTATCGGTTTGATCTGGTTTCAACTAAAGCAGAGAATGAAACACGTGACTGTAATTGATCGCATTTGATAACCATAGATAACAGCGGGAAACATGTCTGAACGATTTCTATTCGCATAAACATCATTCACCGTATAAGCAAACAATTTGCTATAACTCTACTGTAATGTAAATGAAACAATATTTGAAAAATGTAATTGTGAAATAACAATAGTTCATGTTCGAACGGGAACGGGACAATCTATTATTACTTCAGTGGCATCCAGCCAGAATTATAGAAATAACTTTGGAAAATATGTTCCAACAACTGATTTCATTCTAAAAGAGAATTTATTTGTGGTTTACAATAGGCCAAATTTAAATCTGAAGTATTTAACAGCGTTCAATGTTAATGCAAATTATAGAAATTTAAGATCATAGTATTTCATCTTGGTGTGATCAATCTGAAACTATTCTTCAGATATTTGTTTGTTGAATTCATATCTTTCCAAGTGCATGATGGTATTGATCGTTACTGATTTATTAAATGGTTACTCACACATACACGTATGTACGCGTGATATTGTTTCTCCCATAGAAAACTATAAAAGTAAATGCAAATGTACTAAATACATTTGATAAAAAATTGAATCAAAATTTAAGCAGTTGAAATTGTATACTTAAAAAATTCTTTCAAATTATTAATACAACATTTACTATTATTATAATACTTTTAATGATTTATTACTATTATAATTAAAAATAATCAAAAAGCCATAGTAATAACTCAAAAACTGATTAATATTTTTATTTTTACACAAATTACTGTAAAATTAAACTTATGGCATTTTTGTTCTTTTAAATACTCGCGATAAGTATCCTATAAATTCTATAGTACAGTACACAGTGCGTTGCTGACATGATCCCAGCCTGTGACTCAAAAGTGAAGAGGAGCAAGGGGATTCGGCCACACGCTCAACCTCAGTTCGCGGATCGGCCAGTAACAAAGACGTACCGAAACGAATTCCGCCATCACTATCGAACCGAGCGCCGCGAATGGACGTCACCCTTGCCCCTCTTCACTTATGAGCCACAAGCTGGCTGGGATCATGTCGGTAACACACTGTAGTATAGTATATAGTATAGAATAAATCTATAGAAGCCTGTTCTATCTCTTGAGGAAATAATATATTTTGAATTTTAAATACATAAATTACTGTCACACTTGTTAGATTTCTTGGTTTAACAGAAAGATACCGTGCTTTTGCGCTAATACGTCACTTATTGTTTCGTTATTCGAACCTCGAGTCCCTTTACACTTGATCTACATAACAGATTACGTAAATATTACAAAACTTTTTTCCCCATACCGAGTAACAAAACTATGGTTAACGTGCATTATGTAAAGAAGTCGATTTAACGTATTACGTAAAGCGCCGACATAACTTTACCGGTAGGAAATGACACGGTACGTATGTATGTCGTCATTTTCAAAGATTCCCTATGACGAAACACTGGTGACGTAAAGGATACCTACTACTCCTACGAGATATAAATTTTTAAAGAATTTTCCTTGTATATACTTTTTCTCGGGTTTCTAAGAGTGCTACTTAACACAATAAAATTCAGGGACTTCGATAAAACTAATCAAATATTGAAGTTTTCTCTTTATTACTGCTTGTTACCACATAGTAACTACTAGTGTCATATTCATATTTCGAAACACGATACATCATTATTTACTCATAGACACAAATGAACGATATGAACAATGTCTCTATAAATGTTTGAATTCCGCGCCATGTCTACGAAACCGGCAATTAGCAGGTGTGTAAAGTAATTGAATAGTAATGCCGTGCATATACACAGTATTGTCAATACTGTGCCAGACGTATCATCATTAATTTACTAAATGAAGATAAACTGAGAATAAACAATACACTATCACTGATTATATGGTATATACTTTTGCAATATAACATGACATAAATCATCGAATCAAATGAAACCATTTGTATGTAAATACCCAACGCTGTTTCGAGAAAGGAAATGTCATATATTTTTGAGAAATTTAAGAAATACGTTTGACATTGTGAAGTTATAAAAACAGATTGATAAGCTGCAGATATTCGTTTATATAGATATAGACAATACCGCCGATGGAATAATGGTTCGAGAACATACTTCGTAGCGTGGCTTCTACGATCAATAAAAAATCTCGTCACAACGCAATCGCGCCAAACAGAATTCGTAATACACTACATTCTATATAGTATGAAACACAAAATTGATTCAAAAGCATAAACTAAGCGTAATAATACATATAAAACAATCCAACAGGCATCTCAGTTACATTTGATAGAGACTGGAAAGTTCCACTAGGTGATCAATCCTTTTTGGCCGAATTTATAAGCAAGCGTGGATGGGTCTGTTTTTAAAGGTCGATATTCCCGGGGAAGGATAAAACAAATCTAAATGGAAGGGCTGGATCGAAACAGCCTTCACGCTCTTCTCGGAAGAGCGACTGTATTCAAATTTCTTTTGCAAGATACAGGAAACGGAAAGTTAGCAGGACGAACCGGAAGGGCGAAAATTTTGTAATGCACCTGGACACAAGAGCGATACTATTGTGGTTGGCACTGTCCCACAAAACGCACTGTAACGTGGCCTGGTATCGATCTGCAACTTCTCAGTGCGTTCCTATTTTCAGCACTGCATTGCGGTAGAGCTAGGTTACCACGGCCCTTCTCGCGTATTCCACTAGGTTTTTCCACTTCTCTCGGTGATCTGAATCGGCGCGCACGTGCGTGCCGTTATCCCGCACCGGTGAAGTAAAGGTAAATGACGTCTCAGATCGAGAGACAACGCCACCCGTTCACAATTTTGTGAAAAATTTTCTGGTACTCACAATATAGACCTTTGCAGGACGAACATTTCGTTCTTCGCGTGCTCACAGCTGATCACCTCCCACCCGACAGGACCAACGCGCGACTGCGCGTTTTCGGCTAATCGTGCTTACCAATGCCGACCCGCTTTACCCTCGCTCAACGCCGCCGCTCAGTCTACACTCGCACACCTTTTCCCCTTTCGGCTTCAAGTTCATCTATACAGTTGACCACGCATACGCACGGACACTCTCTTGTCGATACACCGCACTGCACACGCGCGCGATTCACTAGATAAGTACAGGTTGGCGCTTCTACGTCGATCGTACACCTTTCTTCCTTGCCAACCTTCGTTTCTATGTAGATGCTAATCCAAATGAACAGATGAATGCAAGTGAATGGAATTGCTGACTGTGAGACGCTATGTATTGGATCAGTAATTTACGATGGCATCCGAACTGTTCCGACGTATTTAGGAGCCTCCGTACATATGCATGTACGTTTTGCTTCACTGGTTTTAAATTGAAACAGGCGTTGCAAACCGTGGCGTACGATATATTAAACACGTAGGTGTATACTTCAGATTAAGTTTAAAATTTGTAGTGTTTAATTAAGTAATAAATTATTTATTCAATAATCTGGACGTGTACATGACTCGTTCCATTTTCAGAAAAGTAAATCGAATCTTCATGTTTCTTCCCTTATGATCTAAAGTTTATTTCTTACTATTTCTTTTCAAAATAATTATTTCTTATTGATAAATGCAATAATTGCATACAAATGGAATTAAAATCGAAATAGATGTTACAGAACAGTGACACTTATTCATTGATGTTATTTGCTGCTGTTATAATAATCGAGTCCTATTCTTCGTTAATGCAGTTAAACCGTTGCTCAATCGGTAAGAAGAAACAGTGAAATTACTATGACCATGCGCTGGTCTCTACTATGATACGAAAATAATGTGCCTTTCTATCATGAAGTTTGCATGCGCCACATCTGACAGAGTGTAAATTGTGTTCAATGACACCGACGTGGTACGAAAGCTTGATAAATCGAATATGTGAAAATGTGAATTATGTTGTTTATTTTCCGTAATATACTCCATAGCGAAGGTCTTATTGTAAGGAAATCGGGCATGTAGGTGAGTGGTTGTATAAAATCAACCTCCGAACTACGTCTTCTCTTGGTTGTTTAACAGCTTCATCTTAGGTTATAATCATTATATATCTGTATAGTTATAAAGTTAATTTTTCTTGCGAATACAACGCATCTTCGAGATGTCAGTAATACTTGAATATACTATGAGTATACTATGAAAACTGTGTATATGCTACAATATGAATAGTATCACAGTGAGAAAGTGTAACAACATGAGATGAAGTTACCATGTAAGCTAAATTGAGGAGTAATATATGTTTAGAAACAGACAAATTGCTTTAAATACCTTGATGTATTAGTTTAAAAAGGAAAAATTCAATATATCATGATGATTGTCATTTTTTAAGAACGAAAGTTATTTTCGTTGCTGTTCAAGGAATGGGCATTGCCAAAGAATTTGGTTCAAATTCTGTACCATGAGTTAACATTCATAATAAACCTAGACAGCAACTTTGATCTTATATAGAGATTCGATTAAACTATAATGATTTGATCAAGCAGTCTAAATCCAAACAATTATATTACAAGGTAATTGAATTTCATGAACTAAGGTTTTCTGTTATTCTGAAAATCTCTTGAAAACTAAATGGAATGTATTGATTTAAAATATGTTGAAACATCTTTTTTGTTCCATATTTCATCTGTATTGTTTTACATTTGTGCAATGAATGCTTTATAAGGGATTCTTCTGATAAGGGATTTTCCAATAAGAGTGATAAAAAACTATAATGAAATTTTTAACAAGTTTGTCCATGTCTACATTGCCTACCAATCCTTTATAAACTAGGATCTAGGCTATTCTAATCTCTGAATTAGTGAGTTTGAGGTATATACTTTGTTGATTTTGTCAAGAATTTCAACAATCTACTTTTGCTTTGTCTTTGTTCTGATATTTTGTAAAACTTGAAATGTTCTGAAACACCTTGGAAAGTCTGTGAAAATGATGAAAGATCTGCCAGGATACTCATTGATCATACCCAATGGTTGTTGTTAATGGGCTGATATTGATTGTTTTATTACCTCTGCATATTACAGGATAGTTCCATGCTGCTTTATTAAAGCAGTAATTGAGGATTTTTTATCCATCCGGACTGCTAGGGATGAAGTTTTGGTAACTAATACGTAACGCCTGCAGAAATTCCTTATTAATGTCATTCGATTGGTTCAGCATGTTATACAAGTGTAGTAGGTTGTCATGTGTTTTAATGATAAGTAATCTTTTTATGAAGAGTGTTTAGATGGGAAATCAAGAAGTGCATTGAGCCCCCTGCAATGAGGTACATTTTGCCTGGATGTGCTGTACATATATAGAAGAAAGGACTCTTCGCCTCAGTCGATATTACATTGTTAAAACTAGACTTCTTTAAGCCCAAGACAGTCTAGCAGTTACAAGCTGAAGTTTCCCTAACAACTATTGTTGCTTTTGATGCTCAAATAGTATGATGTGGTTGCAATATTCTAGTTTTGAAAAAATATGGTTTCTCTAAGTAGTGAGAAGTATTGCAGATTCAGTACTCCACCAAGTTTTGTTGAGGGATCTAATAATACTTAAGATTTTTCGAGCCATAGAGAATGCTATGTAAATTTGTTGTTTAAAGGTGAGGTTTTGGTCGAAGTGAATTCCTAGGAATTTTATAGTGTCCATGTTAATGAGTTACTAATTTTGAATGGATGCTATGTAGGAGAAATTTTCGTCGAAAATCACAAGTTTGGTTTTGCTCAGTGTTACTCTTGCTCAGAGTCCAAGGAGTAAAAGCGCAATGATAGTAGTAATTTTCTTAGCGATTGCCAATGTATTTTGTACACATCACATATGGCATGTTATCCGCATATTGTAGAATGTTGACATTGTGGTGTGAGCTACAAAATATACCAGTAATATAGAGTATAAAGAAAATAGGATATCAGTGTATTTATTTGCTTCAGAAGCATTTTGAAGATAGATTTTGATTTTGTTAAAGTCTCTAGCCTTCTGGGATGTGAAAAAATTGCTTCTTATTAAAACAAATATGATGCATAAAGTTCAATCGAGTGATCTCCCGCGGTGTACATACATTGGATAACGCTAATGCCGATGGCACGTCAACTTTTGATGCTTATATCTCAAGAACTATTTATGCGAAAAAACTAAATTTTTATTGTTATGAAAACATCTAAATGTCAACTATAAGAGTATGCAATAAAAAGCATAGAATTTTATTCGAAAGTATTAATGTACCTTTCAAAGGATATTTCAGAATCATCTCATAGTTACATAAGTAAAAGAACTATATATGCTCTTCAAAATCATATAAGTTTTGTTTGAAGTTTAAAATGAATTTTTAATAGCGTGCGTTTCGTTTAAGAAATTTTAGCGCTTCCAATAAAACTGGACACGTTTTATATATGTATTAAAATTCAATTTTAATTTATCAATTTTTTAAAAACATTAACTATGCAACGCAATCTTGCTAGGTATTGGGATATTACTGCCTGGAATATAATTTTTTCGAAATTTCATAAAGTTACATAGAGTCAATGAAAATAATTTCACGCATAAAAATATAAGTTAATATGTTGTACGGCAGTTTGTAAAATAAATGTATGTACAAAAATATTTATGTCCATGAATAAAAAAATTTAAATAGTAGCTTATGCGAAAAATATAATTTCTAGTGTTTCGAAAACGTCTGAATGTCATTTAAAAAAATATAGAACAGAAACTATAAAGTTCTATTTAACTTCCTTAGTATATGCGTCGATTTTAGTAGAAAACCATCAAAAAGACAACAAATTTATCTCGCCACATTGCCTTCGGCCATCATGTTATCATATACAGCAGGTATTTACCATATCAACGAGGTTAAGAATTCTAAGTTGACCTTGACAGGACGTTTCACGGTCAAACACCTCCCGCCGTGATATATAGTACAAATATCGATTTCAAGTGTACTTAAAATACACGAGTAAGTAGACGGGTAGTTAACATATCTGTGTTTTAATTCGTGTACTGAAGTTCACGGGTGCATTTGTATTGGAAAATACATATATATAACTTCACGGGTATTAACACATATACCATATCTTACTTTATAATTAAATATCTGATTTTATGTGAATACAAATATAATTTTATAGGTTGCAAGTGAAAATAAGGAACATCACGATTTGGGTTAATAAAATTCAATTTATTAATTTTTTGCTTTGGTGTAAGAAAACTAAATTATTAATGTTTTTGGGAAGTAAATGGTTTCTTTTTTTGTGACATTTCCACCACAACAAAAACTCCGTAAATAATATAAATTATGTTTGTATTATAATTTGTATCTACGTCAAATCAGATATTTAATTAAAAAATAGTACATGGTATATGTGTTAACATTCGTTAAGTTATACTTTCCTACACACATGTATTTACCCATGTATTAAGGAATACATGAATATATTAAATTAAATACAGGTGGATACGTGTATCCTCAATACATGTTCAAAATCAGGAACTCTAATATGTAGCAGTTCACACCCTATAATTTTTGTCTAACATATTTCTTCGTATCACAAATACATTTTGTCAAATCTTATTCTGTTAAATCAACATCTATCTTTGTCTCGGACATCGATTAGATTTCGATCCATGTTCACTAGGTTTTTTTATTCAGTTTAGTAACCTCTATTCACCATTTCATTTGTACGCCATAATTTTTAAACACCCTGTATACACTCTCCGAATGAACTAAAATACAGGGAATGAAAGTCTTGTATCCTTTTTCAATGTTATCTTTCATTTTTTTTTTAGAAAAATAATTTAACTGAAATAACATAACGTTTTAATGTCATGGAAATGCTTGCACTGCTCGTTCTGACATCCGTCTGGGTTCTAATTGCTACAGATAATTATCTCAAACAATTATACTCAGACACTTACATGATGTCTAGGAAGAGCATTCTCATTTCATAGCTCCTTAAGCTGAAGTGGAAGATCTTTCTTTGCTTAACGATTTGGCGGAATTACGATAGAATTTAACCATCTCTGCAGCATCGTAGCTTGTTTTCGTGCAAAAAGATCGCTGGAAAGCGAGAACGGAATGTAAGAGATGAAATTGATGAACAGATTTCTATAGAATATTCACAATGCGATTTAGGTGGTGAACGTCTGCAAAAATTTCTGCCCACTCTACATTTTAAACAGTTGCTATTTTTTAAGCGAACAGCTGATGTATGACCATTTGAAGAAATAC